GGTGCCAGTACTCCCTATGTCACCGAAAAGCAGGTGCTAGTACTCCCTATGTCACCGAAAAGCAGGTGTTAGTACTCCCTATGTCACCGAAAAGCAGGTGTTAGTACTCCCTATGTCACCGAAAAGCAGGTGTTCGTACTTCTGATGTCACTGAAAAGCAACGATACCAATGCTGCTTCAATGAGCTCAATAAGCTACCCTGAGTGCACTTTTCTTCTCCAGCAGATTTCAAAGAGGGGAGAGTCCTAAACTTACTTTCAGAAGACATTTATCTCAATGCATATGAATTTCTCTTCTTTTAATTTTAATAAGTTAAGCCTCACTCCAGCACATACCACAATACTGCTAAGCATCGCATTATGATTGCTTTGATTCATTGAGTTAGAAGGAGACCAATAATACCTTCTATGAATTACATAACGGGTATATAATCCACCCATGACTGTTGTGCACTTCCACCTTATTATGAAAAATGCACAGGAGGGGTATAAGGATGAAAGTCATTAAATGGATTTTGAGACGGTGCAGTGCTAATGAATAAGAATAATAATAATAAATACTTTATTGATCCCTTTGGGGAAATTGTTTTTACGCCTCCCTCAACTTGCTCTTTGAAGAGTAAGCTGGCAGTGAAGGGCAGCCACCTGTAGCGGCGCCCAGGGAGCTGGGGGTTAAGGGCCTCGCTCAAGGACCCGCAGACGTGCTGAGGCTGGGTTTGAACCGGTAACCATTCTGATTACAGGCACACAGGCTTAGCTCACTGAGCCACACGCTGCCCCATAATGCGGGGGTGGGGGGGGAACGCAAGCACTAAATGCATGGTAAAGTACATTTCAGCCATGATCAAACTCATCACCATTACTCTCCACTGTAAAAAAAGAAGAAGAAAATCAAACAGATATGATAAACAAAAGGTTACAGCGGTTTCTTCTGCTTTTTTCCGTCATCTACTCACTAAATCTAGAAAAAAAAACTCGCACAGCCCATTATGATTGATTATTAAACTGCTTAAAACAGTGTAACATAGTCAGATGCTAGTTTGATTTTTTTGTGATCAAATCTTTATTAAAGAAAAATCACAGAAAGGGAACAAGTAAAAAAAAAATTCACTGTGTACAACACCTGCCCCCCCCCCCGCGCCTTGCTGGCCACCCCCCATCCCTCCCACTCAGCCCTACCATGAGACAGCTGAAGAGAAGCAGAGTTGTCAGGCAGAGACGACCAGTGTACCACATCTGGCAGTGAGCACAGAGAGAGAGAGAGAGAGAGAGACAGAGACAGAGAGAGAAGCAAACAAAAAAGGCTTCATCCACTAACATCCAACCAAATCTGTACCTGCTGCAAGGCATAAAGCCATTTTTGAATGGTTAAGGCAGAAGATTTGTTCATCTGGAATGCAGATAACTCCAGCAATACGAGGCTCTAGAAAGTGGACATCCAGACAGATAGAATTGCAAGGTCTGGAGATTTCCAATGGTAGGCTAAAAGCAGCTTAGTTGCACTGGAGGCCGACATCAGAAGCACCCCCCCTCACCCAAGTTGTGAGTGAGGGAGAGAAAGGTACAGGAGGAGGAGGACTACAGGGGATAAACAAATGGGGGAGGAGATAATCGAGGAGAGGGAATCAGCAACAAAATCCCAGAGGGCTCCAGATGGAGGACAGACCTGGAACACATGAAGGTGCCAGAGACCCGAAGGGGGCAGAGAGGACAGAGTGAGTCAGACTCTAAGCCCATAACGTGGCATTTCCTGGCAGTGGGGTACAATCTATGAACAATGTTAAATTGTTGATGCAGAGCACTTAAAGCAGGTCACTCAAATTTGCTAGTTTGTTGGATGCAAATACAATTATTTACGTGGGAATATAGCATTAGCAATGGCTGTGGTAGTAATTAGTACCAGTACTAAACAAATGTAATTCACCATACAGCTTTCAAAAATGCAGTACTGCCGTACATTTCAATACCAGTACCCCATGCAACACCAAGACAGACTGGTCGCTGACAACAGACCTTTGATCTGATAATAGAACCAAAATATTACAAGTATTATTTATTAAAATACTTCTTAATAATTTCACATGCAATACTACTAGCATAATGTTCTCAGATGCTGGACAATCCTCACCAACCTTCCAATAGCAAATACAGTCAGTGCCACAGAGGTGCGCTTCTGTATGTGGTGTCGGTCGAAATCTCCTGGATCAAAAGTCCCCTCCCACATAATAGGTGCTCCCCATTTTGTGCACGTCTGAACATCTACTCTGGACCTTTGTGAAGAGGGGAAAAATGTAAATAAGGCAGAAGTGATGCTTTCCTTCCTTTAGGGAGACAAACAATTATTACTTGTCCAAAGCAGCTAACAGGTCAAGATCATCTATGAAGAACAAGAAATATGATCTTGCACCGAAGGAGATGTCAGTAAGATTGCTTTATTGCATGGGTAAAAACGTAAATATTCATTAAGGTGGCTGCATTAGTATCAGGATGCCAACTGACTTACCAGAGATCCAGTGAGCTGTCCAACTCATTCTGAGACTTTAACTTCTCATTGTAGTTTAATGGGCATTTCCCCATGGCATAGAGTTCTTGAAAAAACCTGTATTTAAGAGCAATAAATATGCATTCTTGCAACAGAATTTATTACTGAATACTCAATGGATGACTGACGCAAATTACCTGGATTTAGTTACGAAGTACAAATGTAAGTTTGAACACTCTGCTCATAATTATTTTGGCATTATTAATCCATCTGTCTTCCAGCACAAAGAAAGCTGGGAGCAGCAGAAGAAAGAGAGCCGGGAAACACCCCTAAAAGGATGCCACTTAACTGCAGGGCACATAAGCTCACACACACAAGCACAAAATCAGGCACCTATTCACCCAACTGCATGGTTTGAATCTGCAGGTGTAAATTTGTTATGCATGCAAACCATTGCCACACACATAAAAAATGGCATATTACAAAAGACCACATTAGCCCTGTCCTGTGCTCCCTTCACTGGCTTCCATTTACACTGGAGATATAAAGCACTGAATGGCCTTATATCAGAATATCATAGAGATATAATTGTTTCATGCAACCCTCCTCGCCTGCTTTCGATGTCAAGGATAACGGAAGCCCATTTCCACCACATAAAGAAAAAAAAATGTTTCCAAGAATCCCTCCATTATCTCTTGCAATTCTAGCTTTACTTTTCGGAATTCTCATTATTTTTCCCCCCCCTCGCAATTCTGACTTTTTTTGCCAATCGGAAGTGTCACCTCCTCTGCAGGACGCTGTTTAGGAATATACCCGAAACACGCATTGTTCACGTAATGTTATCTGCTGGCACATTATGGATTTCATGTTAGCTCGCTACACAGCAAATGTGCCAGTGTTAAATTAACACTGCATGGTTCTTTGGTTATTAAGAGCTGAACTAAAAACTTACATAAAAAGAGAAAAGGCTATGTTGGTCTGAGCCTTTCTTATTATGGTGGGTTAGAAAAAAACAGTTCGAATGAGAGTACATTAAAATAGGGTAGATATGGGCCACCCATTTTGTACTTGTGTGCCACCCATATGGGCTTGCAATTTGGGAAGAGGTGGAGACACATTGCCTTAACACACTATGTTGTAAATTTAACACTATAAGAGTTAATAAATATTAACACTGTAAAAACAACACTCACTGCACACTGAAAAGTGTTAAAGGTAACTCTGAATGGTGTGGACACATAGACACCATGCAGTGTTAATTTAACACTGGCATATTTGCTGTGTACATTTTGAAAACAGTAAAATAGGCACTAGTAATACCATCATTGTTTTGGTTCAAGTTGATCAGTTACTTGGATGATGCCAGTGTTTGGCTGGGGTTTTCTAGTAGTCTAAAAATTGAAAGGCATGTTTGATATTTTTTACTGACTAATTAGAACATAAGTTTTGTGCAATGTCACAATTGTTAGGGTCTGTAGCAGCCAATAATGTAGTAACCTCTAATAAAGTACTAATTACGTTGTTAATGTAATGAAAGTCAATAATGTCATAACATGGTGCATTTTTGTTTCAGAAATGTTATTACATTATTGGTAAGTTACATTATCCATTTTTATTACATTAAGAATGGAAATATGTTATTGGCAATTTTTATATTAATGGCGAGTTCATTATTGGCTGATACAGGGTTTTGTAATACACAAAGCATTAATGGCAGATATGTCTATATCACACAAGAAAATGTTACATTTTATTGCCCCTTTCCATTTCAAACTTGGCTAACATTTACAAGATAATTATCGTTGCAAGTTCTGATGTAGGCTACCAATCACACCCTCAGCTGGAAATACTGAAATGCCTGGACAGAGTAGGTGCAGCCGTTGTAGTCTTCACTCCTTTCTGCTACTCTACGCTCATTGCATTGAACCATTAAAGCAGAAGCAGAAGTGGTACCTCTGGGTACTTGCTGGTTGTTAGAAAGGAACTCAGAATTATGAGAAAAAAAGTAAGAATCGTGAGAAAGAAGTCATAAGTACGAGAAATAAAGCTGCAATTCAGAGCAATAGAGTCAAAATTCTGAGAAATAGAGTCAGAATTCTGAGAAATAAAGTCAGAATTAAGCAAACTTTTTTTTTTAATCCCCCATGTGGTAGAAACAGGCAGAGTGGGATATCTATCAGTACCAAGAACAGCAAGAACCATGGCAGGCTGCAGAGCACTCTCCTACAGAGCTCCTCAGCTGAGGAAAAAGTCTTCCGGTGGATGTGCGAGATTCAGGCAAGTCTAGACAAACACAACTTGTTCAGTCTAGCTCATAGGGACTCTAGTTCTAGCTCCGCCCAACTACTCACTCCCAGTTAGACCTATAGTGTAAAGTGTAGAGCTGGGTGGGGATCGGTGCCATTGGCTTTGGATGAACTGAACTGTCAGTGCTGTCACTCTAGCTTCACACCCCCTTGCGTTGGAGTGCTGACATTTTAGGGACTCCCCCCCCATGCCTGCGTTCCCACCTGCCTATCCTTCCTACTTATGCTGCCATAGCCATATCTGCCGGAGCTTACATATTACACTCACCTAACTGTTTGCACTGCCTCTAGTCTCCCCTAATAAGGCTAATGCACTTTTATCCCTGCTACCCCTCCTGGGGAGTGCTGCCTGGAGACCCAAAAAGAGCATGATATCCTGCCTGCCCTGCTGCCTGTGACGTCCCTACTACCTGTGATGCCCTTCCTGAATGCCCTGCTGCCTGTGACGTCCCTACTACCTGTGATGCCCTTCCTGAATGCCCTGCTGCCTGTGACGTCCCTACTACCTGTGATGCCCTTCCTGAATGCCCTGCTGCCTGTGACGTCCCTACTACCTGTGATGCCCTTCCTGAATGCCCTGCTGCCTGTGACGTCCCTACTACCTGTGATGCCCTTCCTGAATGCCCTGCTGCCTGTGACGTCCCTACTACCTGTGACGTTCTTCCTGCCTGCGACGCCTCTCCTGCCTGCCCTGCTGCCTGGACTTAACAAATCGGAGCATATAAATCAAGACTTTGTTCATTTGACTTCCTCTGCCAGCCCCTGAAAGATGAGCTCCTCCTTTGGGTCTGGGTTCCTCCCAAGGTTTCTTCCTTCTAGGGAGTTTTTCCTTGCCACTGTCACCTCTGGCTTGCACACTGCAGGCTTTGGGCAGGGATAATGTAAAGTGCTTTGAGACAATGTAATGCTGTGAATGTGCTATATAAATAGAATTGAACTGAACTGAACTGAACTGAAATTGAACTGAGATACTAAGCAAGTCAAGGCATACAATGCAGCAGTACAGTGATCCCCTGCCTATCGTGGAAGATGCGTTCCAGACCAATCAGTGATAGGTGAAAATCTGCGATATAGATAGACCATTTAAATAAACTTTTTTTTTTTTTATAGTTTAAGCTTTAAAATACCCCTCCCACACGCTTTAAACACATGTAAACTTATTAAAACAGCACATATGATATGTGGATGTCGGGCTAAGGATATGAGTAACATAATAATAATAATAATAATAACAATAACAACAACAACATGTAATGTATATGTATGTGATTCCATTTTAACGACGGTTTTAATCCGAGGAGTTGCCACCCTCTTTCCTGTTTGTCTAAAGGAAAGTGATGTGGGGGCTCATATTCTTTTCATCCTTCTTGATGTATCATTCCGTCAATTCATTCACGCCATAATGGCGAGCGACGTCCGCGTAATGCTTTCCTTCCTGAAGCATATCCAGGAGTTTTACCTTCTCCTGAATGGTCAAGGTCTTCCTCTGGCGCTTAGGCTCACTACTACCAGAAGGCTTAGAAGATGCAGGACGCTATGGAGCCGTCGTAGGGCTTAAAACGACAAGCAATCGAATCACAAGCAAGGTACGCGATACGCAGAGAACTGTGACGCGTTGGGGAAAAATCCGCGATATAGCGGGGGATCACTGTACAATGAATGAGCAGTACATATTCATGAAGATAATAAATGCACATGCTTACCGTATAGCGCAGTGACCAAAAAAAATCACAAAAATCACCACAGCTGCACACAAAGCGAAACATATTTTGACTTTGGCCCTAGGAGGGGAAAAGAATGGGTTTTTTTCTGCATCTTTTACAGTTTTCTGCAAGTCAAAGCCGATATTTTCATTAGAATTGTTTTAGATTGGAATTGCTGAAGACTATTAAAATGCAACGGCAAATATGCCTATTAAAAAGTAAAAAGGACATCCCAGTATTTTGTTTACTACAGGAATGCTTCACTTACGGAGATATTAATACAGATGAAAGTAGTATGAAATTGACCACAATTGAAATGAATCACTATTAAATGTATTAAATCATTTAATTAATAATTATTACATTGATCATAGCTACTGATGGTGAAATTACTCAAGGATTGACCATAACTTGCTTGATTAAGTCTCAGACTTGAGTTGCTTAATTATAAGAAGTACAATATGACTTGAGACATGATGGTTAGGAATTGTGACTAGTGTATATGTCATATTTAAATGACAGATAAAGAATTAAACGCATTCCAACTTAAAGGCAGAGTTTAAGGCGATCTACATTTCCCAGTCTGAGGGGAGGTTCATTCTGAAGTTCTGTCACCCCCAAGGTCACAGTCAATTTTTTTTGTCTTGGCTGCCTTGTATATCAGCAGCAGAATTAGATAATTTTCCATTCAAATTACAATTTCTTTATTGTCATTGCAAGAAGTTACAATGAAACTCAATTTGTGTGATATTAAGGGAAAAGATTAACAAGATTAAGTTAAATAAATATAAAATATAAAAGTATTAAAAATAAAATAATGCAAGGTTATGAAAGAGGCAGAGAAAGTAGCTATGCTTAGGGTATACAGTTGCCATTAGTAGACATGCTGTAATATCCGTATCATAATTTTGTGTGGGGTATCAAAAGATTGTTTTTGTCTGGGTTTTTTTGTGTAGAGAATCTCACCTGCTTGCCTGCTTCAACCAGGATCTTACAAATTTGCTTCGTGCAGAACAGTCCCTGGAAGAACAGTTAATTCAGGAAACCATTTAGTACATAATAACATAAGCAGTAAGGCATTAAACTCCTCAATGTCAACAGATGTGAGGTTTGATATATGAGACATTCTCTGAGCCATTTTACACGTTGCACATTTTTAAGTACCATGTTACAAAGTTCAGCCATATCTGTACACGAATGTGAAAATTTCCATATGTTTAGTAAACCTATTAAAGCAGAAGTTATTCATTTTTGCTGACTTCACATATAGTGACAACCCCAGATTTTAATGCTCCATGCAGAACTTAGTAGCTATGGTATAATACCACAATAGGAGCGAACAGTGAGGTAATACTAAAAATGTTGCGGTGATTGTGAGCTGAGTCACTAATCTCAGTATTCATGTTTCAGATTTGTACGCTCCATGCTGTAATAAGAACTCAACAATGCATGTAGCTTAAACTAGAGACCTGCGCGGGACGGATTTTTCAGTCCCGCTCCTGCCCGCTCCCGTAAAAAATATTATATTATTTTCTCCCGCCCGCAAAATCCCGCAGGTAAACATATAAGTAGTTTTATTTTTACCGCTTCTTCCCGCTACTCTGTTATTTGTTTCACTT